CTCACCTCCGGATCTTTGCTGTTTTGCTCAAGGCAGTAAACGGCCTCAGCAAGTTGTCTTTTTCTTTCTTTTAGAACATTTATTTTTTTTCTTCTTATGAGAATCCTACATGGTTTGTAAAAAATTTAGAAAACATAATGAAAATGAGGGGGGAAAAGCATCCATCTCTAGCACCTGTGAACACTGGGTGAGCCGCCAGCAGTCCTGTCTCTCCCCAGACCTAGGATATGTCCATCTTGACACCCTCTGGGGCAGGGCGCTCTTACTTGCCAACTCATGGTGTATTTTTTGTTTGTTTGTTTTGTTACTCCTTACCTGAGGATATTTTTTCCATTAATTCTTTTAGGGAGAGTGGANAGAGGGAGAGAGAGAAATACTGATGCGAGAGACGCATCGATTGGTTGTGTCCTGCACATGCCCCGACTGAGGTCAGGGATTGAACCTGGGTTGCAGGTTTAAGCCACACCAGCCAGGGCGACAACTCATGATACCTTGGTGGTTGGTCGAGTTCATTCTTTTAGAGCTCCCGGGCCACGCTCAGACACACCAGAATGGCCCTGCCGTCATTACAAAAGGTAATGGGAACACATTTCTAGGGTTGGCATTCTGTGTTTACACTCACCATCCCTTAGAAGGACCCATCTTCTCCATTTACTAGACAAGTATTTGCTGAACACGTAGTAGACACGAGCACTGCGCTATGGGTGTTGTGAAGTCAGCAGCGTGTCTGGTTCTGATTACTGAGCTCACACTGTCCATTGTGAGAATTACCATTTAGCAGGGCAAGACTTATTAAGAAAAACAGAATAAACTTTAATCAAAAAGGTTGTGCTTGTTAGGATGAACCCGTCTTTGTACCCACGTCTGAGTGACAGGGTGGCCCGCATCCCCCTAGGGGAAAGGGCGATTGTTCCTGCTCATTGGTGGAGGCAGGGGCCTTGGCTGTTTCTCGGGTTAGCTGTCCCCAGTGCCCTCCTCTCTCATGGCAGTGCTGCTTCCAGTGTCTTAAGATTCAACAGATAATTTTCCTACAAGGTGCCAAGCCAAGGCAACTACTTCATCTTGTGCTCAACCCAAGGACCGGGGGAGACTCTGGCCCATTGCTGGAGCCAGGGTCACGGACATTCGCACTGATCTCCAGGGCCTTGGGGACTTTTTAAGGATACTTTTGACAACATGGGATTTGTGTGTGTCTCTGTCTCACTCTAACACTCCCAAAAGACATCTTGTGCCCTTACCACCATCCCTTTCACCCCTTTTCCTGTGCACCTTGCCACACAGCCGGGCCACCATCACCAGTTGAAGAGGTGAGGGCCACAGCAAGCCCTGCCTAGGGGCCACCGGCCACTCTCAGCAGCCGTTGGGCAAGGGTGTGGCTTCGGGTGGCTTTTGTATTTGAGATGATACAAAGCTCATTACATTCCACCAGGAATGTACCAACAACTGCATCATGTCCTTGCTTATAGTCCTTCAAAGGCTCTTAATTATCTATGTTCTAAAATCCGAATGATTTAGCGGCATGGAACTGAGCCCCACAGCCTCATTTTCTGTGGGCTCCCCGGCTCTGCCCCCAGAGCACCAGCTGTGGAAACCATTCCCCACTCACCATCTTCCAGGACCAACCTTTTCTTTCGAGACATCTCTGCCTGCCTCCTTCCCCTGAAATAGCCACCCCAGCGCCATCTCCATTAGAATATTAAACTTACGTCTTAGGTATGGTTGGTCCCGCCTGAGAGCAGATCTTCGCACCCCGAGCTCTGGCTGGGTCGCTGGCACAGAGCAGGAGCCCGAGCACGCGAGGCTGAGCCAGTGAGCGGCTGGACTTCCTTCCCCGGTGGCAGCCCTGGGCCTGTAGAAAGGGCAGGACGAGCAGCTGAGGGCAACTGCACAGGCTGGCGGTGGCAGGAGTTTGTGCCAGACCTGTCTGAGTCGGCGTAACCCAGGGTTTGGCGTGGCCGCAAACTTAACCGTGAGCATGCAAGGGGAACACCGTGGAGAGAAGAAAGGCCATCTTTTCTACGCAGTGTTTGTCCTGCCTCTCCTGGAACCTAGATTTGGTCAACGGCTTCATGAGCGGGTCAATCTGATGACTTTCCGTGACAGATTTATTTTCCAAAAATGACCACAAAAGTATTTCCAGCCCCACGAGCTCTTCTAGAGCCTTGCTAGGCTCCCATCAAGAGGAGGAACCTATGTTCCCTCTCCTGAATGGGGCAGGCCTTTGTGACTGCCTCGTCTCTGAGGGGACGGATGAGTGATGCTTGGTGACTTCTGAGACTTGGTTACACAAGGTGACTCAGCCTTAGGTGACCCTGCTGGGAGCAGAGACGAACTGTCCCTACTGAGTCTCACCCAACCTGCAGATGCATAAGCAACATACACATATATGATATTGGTATAAGTGACTAAATTTGGGGATGATTAACTTGGGACATTTATCCACCCTTGCCCTGGACTGAGAGGTTCCTCAGGATGTGTGGCTTTGGGCAAATGGGGATGGTTGGTCACCTGAACCTCCGGCCCATCAGAAATGTGTGTTGCCCGGCCGGGCGTGGCTCAGCGGTTGAGCGTCGACCTAGGATCCAGGTGACTGGGGTTTGATTCCCGGTCAAGGCACATGCCTGGGTTGTGGGCTTGATCAATGACTCTCTCATCATTGATGTTTCTGTCTCTTTCTCTCCCTCTCCTTTCCTCTCTCTGAAATCAGTAAAGATATATTTAAAAAAAGAGAAAGAAATGTATGTGACCTGCTGACCTCTCGAGTTTGTTTCTCAGGGTTCCTCTTTTTTTAGATTCAAGTTCCAGAGACAGAGCTAACATAGTCCCAGCTGAACAAGGTGGTGGTAATAGTATTTGTTTTCTGGATGAATTTCACCCTCTCCCGCCCTCACTGAATGGTCTAAGCAGCTGGTCCATCAACTGACGCGGAGAAGGGCAGCCCCAGGTCGGGGGTGGGGGGTGGGGGCTTCATGCTCTCCAGGCTCGGGGCTCTGGTGCTGGGGTTTCCGTTGCCTGGGACACCCCACCTGCTCTTGTCATTCATTTGAGCTCTCTTATTTTCTTGTTTTCTGGTGGCCTCTTCCCACTGGGCCATGAGTCCCACAGGGCCTGCGTCCCTGCAGGGTCTTCAGCAGTCACTGCCTGGCCAGAAGGAGGTGCTCAAAAACTTTTTTTTTTAAAATGCTGAAAGAATAAGCGAGTTAAGAGGGCACTTAAGATTATCTGGGTCCACCGCCAGCACTGCGGAAGCTTCTTCCATGAGAGCCCGAAGGGGTGAGCACCACCCTAAAACACCTTTGGGATGGAGAGCTCACTACCTCACAGAGCAGCCTGTTCCATCCCATATTTAATAAGACATTTCAAGGCGATATTAAGAGTCGCCTCCCTGTAACTGTTGGCAACTGCTCTCGGGAGCTTTCTCCCCCCTGCCGCCACCCAGAAGGGAAGCTCTGGCTCCCTGTTACCCCATCTCCTGGTGAGGAGGCGCTGGGCAGATCTCTAGTCCTTCCTGGACCCTGTGTCTTTTCGCAAACTGGAACAATTTCTTATTTTAGCCCACGGACGACAGCAGTATGTCCTAAGGGATTCCGCACACTTCTAAGTTAAGAAGAATTCATCTTTAAAGGGTGGAGGGTGCCAAAGCAGTCGCCAGCCATCTCGTTGGACCCTTCTGCTGAGTTTGGAGACAGCAGGACGGGGTCTGCCTCTGATCTCCTACTGGGTAATGCCATGAGGGGTCATCTCGGATGCAGGACTGGACTCCCCAGCTGGCCTGTGCCGGGCGGTGGTTCTGATCCCCAGCTTGGGTTTCCCAGGGGGTAGCTCTCTGAGGGTCCCAGCAGGCTCATCAGGTCCTGCCTCCTCGCTGCGGGTGCTGGATGCCCGGGGCCTGGGAGGAGGTGCCCCGCGCAGGGCCTGCGGCAGCCCTGGGAATCTGGCACAGCCTCCAGTCCTGGCTCTCAAGGTGTGGCCTGAATCAAAAACCAAACAAGATGAAGCCTCAAAGGTCAGCCCATTGTGGCTCCTGTTTTCAGACCAGAGTCTTTTGTCCTGAACTGCGGGAGTCTGCATGCCCAGGCTGCTTTGTCTCCTGACAAAAGACAGCTTAGCTCTGGGCAGAAAACATCTCCTGAGGAGTGAGAAACCACGCTCTACCCCGAGTCCCTAACGAGGCCGAGGGCACTCCCAGGGAAATCGAGAGATTCCCAGGACGAGCCCTTCCTCTGAGTAGCTCCGGGCACGAGCCTCCATCGTCTTCGTTTTAATTAACCCAGTGAACCAGCATCTACCTTTCAAAGGAATCTGAGGGCGATGCTCCTGCCAAGTCGCGACCAAGTCCCCGTGACGCTCAGGAACGTGGGCCAGGCTCTGTGTAGGTTGAGGAAGCCCGAGGAGAGCAAAGATTATAGGGAGGGTCTGCCTGTCTTTACAAGGGCTTGTTTTGCGTCCTGAAATCTCAGATTCAGCTACTACAATGAGGTCCTGTTATAGAGAGAGCTGGCCTTTTATCACCACTTAAAATCTAATTAATCCATATTGAAGCACAAAGATTTCTGTTGTCCTAAGGGTGAGGGGTCATAGAGGCTCCTTTGTTCATCCTTAGCTTTAGAATCATCAGGCATTGGGGATATAATTTTACCAAGCGAGTCGGAAGGCAACGGGTCAAACCCTTATCGGAAAGCCTAACTCGTAGTTTTCACAGAGCCCTTCGTTCTTTACATGAAATATTATATTCGAGAGGAACAAAAACACATTTCAGAGTGCCCAAGGAGTGAACGGCCAAAGCTTATATGCCAGGCAGCATCGAGCCACCATCGCCACAGCACTGCCCGCCACCAAGGCCAGCGCTCCCATAGGGGAGGCCGGTCGCCAGGCCGGCTGCAATGGCGTTAGTCTTGAGAGTAGTAATGCAACTTGTTGGGCTGTTATTATCTCTGCTGGGATGGGTTTTGTCCATTGTTNAAAACATCTCCTGAGGAGTGAGAAACCACGCTCTACCCCGAGTCCCTAACGAGGCCGAGGGCACTCCCAGGGAGATCGAGAGATTCCCAGGACGAGCCCTTCCTCTGAGTAGCTCCGGGCACGAGCCTCCATCGTCTTCGTTTTAATTAACCCAGTGAACCAGCATCTACCTTTCAAAGGAATCTGAGGGCGATGCTCCTGCCAAGTCGCGACCAAGTCCCCGTGACGCTCAGGAACGTGGGCCAGGCTCTGTGTAGGTTGAGGAAGCCCGAGGAGAGCAAAGATTATAGGGAGGGTCTGCCTGTCTTTACAAGGGCTTGTTTTGCGTCCTGAAATCTCAGATTCAGCTACTACAATGAGGTCCTGTTATAGAGAGAGCTGGCCTTTTATCACCACTTAAAATCTAATTAATCCATATTGAAGCACAAAGATTTCTGTTGTCCTAAGGGTGAGGGGTCATAGAGGCTCCTTTGTTCATCCTTAGCTTTAGAATCATCAGGCATTGGGGATATAATTTTACCAAGCGAGTCGGAAGGCAACGGGTCAAACCCTTATCGGAAAGCCTAACTCGTAGTTTTCACAGAGCCCTTCGTTCTTTACATGAAATATTATATTCGAGAGGAACAAAAACACATTTCAGAGTGCCCAAGGAGTGAACGGCCAAAGCTTATATGCCAGGCAGCATCGAGCCACCATCGCCACAGCACTGCCCGCCACCAAGGCCAGCGCTCCCATAGGGGAGGCCGGTCGCCAGGCCGGCTGCAATGGCGTTAGTCTTGAGAGTAGTAATGCAACTTGTTGGGCTGTTATTATCTCTGCTGGGATGGGTTTTGTCCATTGTTACAACCTACCTGCCACATTGGAAAAACCTCAACCTGGAATTAAATGAAATGGAAAACTGGACCATGGGACTCTGGCAAGCCTGCGTCATCCAGGAGGAAGGCGGGATGGAGTGCAAGGACTTCGACTCTTTCCTGGCTCTGCCGGCCGAGCTCAGGGTCTCCCGGATTTTAATGTTCCTGTCCAACGGGCTGGGGTTTCTGGGCCTGCTGCTCTCTGGGTTTGGGCTGGACTGCCTGAGAATCGGAGAGGGGCTGCGGGAGCGCAAGAAGCGACTGCTGATCCTGGGAGGAGCCCTGCTCTGGATGGCAGGCGCGGCGGCCCTGGTGCCGGTGTCCTGGGTCGCCCACGTGACCGTGCGGGAGTTCTGGGACGAGACCATCCCAGAGATTGTGCCCCGCTGGGAGTTTGGGGAAGCCCTCTTCATCGGCTGGTTTGCCGGGTCGGCCCTCCTCCTGGGGGGGTGCCTGCTGAACGGGGCCGCCTGCTGCACCCAAGCTCCTCTGGCTTCGGGCCACTACACGGTGGCAGAAACACAAAGTCAGTGTGCCTACCTGGAAAATGGGACTGCAGATCCGAAAGTGTGACTTTGACAAGACCGGAGAGATGTATATTCTGCAGGGACAGAGCTGTAGGGGTCTGCACGAGCAGGGGGCCTTTGTTATGGAACTCAATCTGTGGGGCTCACATGTTCTCACTTAGTAATTACTTTTCTACCCTAGATCCTCCCTCCTCCCAAAAATCTGGAGAAGGGGCTGTCTTATATCTAAAAGAAAATTACTATGCTAAGGATTACATAGGTATGAGCAAAAAAATGTCATAGGCCTGGTTATTTAAATCGAAATGTGGTGGTGGTTGTCCAATATAGTCCGTATTAAGCTTTCGTGTGTGTATGTTACACTAGAAACTGTTTGTTTGTTTTTGTTGGTAGCTGAAAGTAATAATTACTTTGTTTCCTAAAGAGAAAAACTGACACGCTGAAATCTTTTAAGCATTCTACGTTGGCAGAGACGCAGGTTAAGCTTATCCCAAAGCGAATTTCCACAACAATGACTGTTCTTCTTTTGATCCGAGCTGACTGGTGTTTAGGAAATTACAAGGCACCCGGTGTGAGTGACAGGGTTTTATGAGGCTAAAAGGTTTTCAGTTCATCATGATACTCTCAGATTCGAAACACTGGCCAATCTCCTCTATTGTCTCTTCCCTCAAAAGCTCCATGTTAAAAAGACAAATAATTTAAAATGTTTGCTTGATATTGAGATAGTGACCCTTCATTTGCCCTAAGAAAAACTTTCTTTTGTTCAATTGAAAATTACAAGCTTGGGGATATATATACTTTTGGGGTTGCAGCAGAAGAGATGTTGATGCTAATCTACAAAGTCCTATTGCTTAACTTTTCCACGGCATAGAAAGCAGATTTCAGTAAAGAAGAAACACACGAAGTGTTTATGCACCTGTGTCTGAACGTGACAGAAAGGAATGCAGGTAAAAAGACTTGATAGTTTGTTTCGTATTGTTTCATATGTTATGTGGTATATATAGCCTAAGGAATTTTTTTTAAAGGTAGGCCTGATCCTAGCCAGCGTGGCTCAGTGGTTGAGCATCGACCCATGAACCAGGAGGTCAAGGTTCGATTCCCTGTGAGGGCACGTGGCCTGTGCTGCAGACTCGATCCCCAGCAGGGGGCGTGCAGGAGGCAGCCGATCAATGACTCTCATCGTTGATATTTCTGTCTCTCTCTCTCTCTTCCTCTTTCTGAAATCAATAAAACACACATACATATTTAAAAATAAAAAGTAGGCCTGATTTAAGATCTAGAGAAATTTCTGATAAAATTGATTTATTTGGTTAAGAAATGTTTTTCTTGAAACTATTTGTTTTTTAAAATAATGCCACTTGGTGTTACCACAACACATATACTGAAATGTGAGAACTGTCACAGACGAAAGCCTGACAGGTGCCATTAGCAAGAAAGAACGCAGTAGGAGCTGGACCGACTGTCAGTGAAACATTCTGCATTTGGACGTCTTAGTTCTTTGACTCGTTAGGAAGGTTGGAAATAACATGAAAGCCATTTAGACATGAACAATGAAAGGAGGATTACTGCTGCTTAGTGTTATTTCAGGGACAAACTGCTTATTAGAAAACTGATCTTGGCCACTCCTTGGCATTACTGGTTTGGAAAACTAGTTCCCTTTCCTTTTCTGAAAACTATTCAGCATGGAATCAAACAATAGCAAGTCTGGCAAGAATCCGCTTATACACACAATGAAAAAATATTTCAGAGCTCTGCAGGTGATAACACAAGTCTGTCGCACTTTTCCCAGAGACCGAAAGGCAGCAGCTGGTTTAGCTAAAGCTCGCAGGACCTCGTAATGGCTTTAGTATTTAGGACTGTGGCACAAGTAACTGGAATTTCACTCTCTCTGCTGGGATGGCTTTTATCCTGTCTCACAAACTACCTGCCACATTGGAAAAACCTCAACCTGGAATTAAATGAAATGGAAAACTGGACCATGGGACTCTGGCAAGCCTGCGTCATCCAGGAGGAAGGCGGGATGGAGTGCAAGGACTTCGACTCTTTCCTGGCTCTGCCGGCCGAGCTCAGGGTCTCCCGGATTTTAATGTTCCTGTCCAACGGGCTGGGGTTTCTGGGCCTGCTGCTCTCTGGGTTTGGGCTGGACTGCCTGAGAATCGGAGAGGGGCTGCGGGAGCGCAAGAAGCGACTGCTGATCCTGGGAGGAGCCCTGCTCTGGATGGCAGGCGCGGCGGCCCTGGTGCCGGTGTCCTGGGTCGCCCACGTGACCGTGCGGGAGTTCTGGGACGAGACCATCCCAGAGATTGTGCCCCGCTGGGAGTTTGGGGAAGCCCTCTTCATCGGCTGGTTTGCCGGGTCGGCCCTCCTCCTGGGGGGGTGCCTGCTGAACGGGGCCGCCTGCTCCACCCAAGCTCCTCTGGCTTCGGGCCACTACACGGTGGCAGAAAC